AGGACAGCCTGGCAGTCAGCATGTTGACAGACCAGCCAGCAGACACCTTGTGTTATTGTTGTTTTTTAGCCTGTTATCTGGTTATACCTAGACTTCCAAGATTCATGACAGCCCTGACACGGGGTAAATGTTTAGCGTTGACCAGAGGAAAGTCACACGGAAGGCCAGTCATCATGCCAGAGAACTTGGGTCTCCATTTCACATCCAGGCACTCTGAAAGGCTTAAGTTGATGGAGGGATGAGAAGGGATTTACTGTAAGGGCACAGGGCTGAGAGCAAGCAAAACTAGAGCTTCCAGAACACTTAAGCCCGGCACATAGTTGCACACAGGCATGGGCACTCACAGATCTAGACTTACAAAACAACACTCAGATTATAGACAGAAATAGTTAAAATGCCCAAGACCAACGTCACTCACGCCTAGTGTGAACACCCACCCTCAGTCACTCTCTCACCATTTGGGGCGGGGGGGTGGCAGTGAACGAAGCAGTGCTCTGGGCAGCGCTCAGGACCAGCCAAGCCCTTGCCCTCGAAGGTCACGTTCTTCAATACATTAGGTGAATTGTTTACAATGGTTACTTCTTGTTGTAGTTTAAAACAGGTTAGAGATATGCCAACAAGATGCATTGTTTGGCCTCTCCTGAGTCCTATTCTTCAGAAGGAAATGACAGGGTATTATTGGGCAAACTGACTAAACAGGAATTCAGGTGACAGATTTGGTTATTTCAATGTTTCACATATACATTAGGTCACATCAATCATCTTCCTAACACGAGGAAATATACACTGAAGGATGGTGATAGATATGCAGATTACCCTATTGGAAGAAAAAAGTTTAAAAACCAAGGACAAAAAACGTGGCATATCAACAAAGATTGATCTAGATATAGAACATATATTTTTGTACTCTTTTAAAACTGTACTATTTTTATTTTGTAACATTTGAAATTATTTCCAAATGAAAAGTTTAAAATAAATCTATTTTACTTTGTAAAATGAGCAAAAACATAATGTCCTCAAATCATTTCATAAATTTCCCTAAGTCATATCTGATGTAGGAACGTTTGACCTGCTAATGCAAGAGTACAAGATGTACCAGAGATGGTACACTGAGGTAAACCTTCCAGAACATCTCTCTCCCCTGACATGAGCCAGATACACTTATGACTCCTCTGTATCTACAGGAGATAGAGTGAAGTATAATTATACCATTTGCTATACAATTTTAATTCACTTTCTCTAATGAGTACCCTGAGATCCCAGCTAGGTGATAGAAATGGAAAATGCCAGAAAATTATCCCTTTAAATACAACTCCCTCTTTTCTGTGTGTGTGTGTGTGTGTGTGTGTGTGTGTGTGTGTGTGTGTGTGTGTGTGTGTGTGTGTGTGTGTGTGTGTGTGTGTGTGCTGGTATTAAGACCTGAAATCAGGGCCTTGGTGCTGTTCCTTAGCTCCTTTGCTCAAGGCTGGTGCTCAACCACTTGAGTCACAGCTCCATTCCCATCCCTCTCTTAATGCTTCACTAGAGTCTGATTCCTGCCTACAGGCTTGCTGGCCTCCTTTCCTATCTGCTTTTGTGACTTCCTTTCTGCCTGCTTTCCTGATTTCTTCCCTTCCTTCCTGACTCCCTTTTACCGAGGTCAGATAGTTCTTCCCCTCTCCTAGATGTCTACACCCCCCCCTTCTAGTGTCCCAATAAATCTCTGGCATGTCAACTCTTGTCTTGGTATCTGTCTTCAGAGGATCTAGACTAACAGCCTCCTATTTTTAAAGTCATCCATACAGATCTAAGGTACTACACTTAGTCACCTTTCCTAGCCTTCATCAGTAGTATATTAAAAGGCTTCGCCAATGCAGACAAGACTTCGAAGAAGATTGGAGTGGAAGAGGTAGGTGGTTAATTTCTTTTTTTGGGGGGGGGGTCCAGTTGTGGGGCCTAAACTCTGGGCCTGGGCACTGTCCCACAGCTCTTCAGCTCAAGGCTAGCGCTCTACCACTTGAGCCACAGCTCCACTTCTGGCTTTTTTCTTTTTGCTTATGTGGTGCTGAGGAATCAAACCCAGGGCCTCAGGCATGCAAGGCAAGCACTCAACCACTGAGCCACCTTCCTAGCCCCGGTAGGTGGTTAATTTAAACAGGTGATGGAATCACGTCTCCACCACCGTGCTAGCTCTACTGCATAGTATAGAAATAGGCCTTGCTTGTCCCAGACTTGCATGGATCCCACACAAACATGCTTTACTTCTGAACACAGACAGCAAGGCATTAGAATGGCAACTTCCTTGATAGCATTAACTCCCTATTTGCTTCCCGAACCGGTTGTAAATGTCTACCTAGAGGACCTGAATTCATGTTAGCTATTCTTCCTCTCCAGGCTTACATTGCCCACTGCCCACTTGTATTTCCACCAGTCACGAGCTCACTTCTGTTTTCTCTTGAACTGTAACTCATTAATTCCTGCTGTTGTCCTTACTATGGTCATGAGTCCTCTGCTGTACCACACACATCCATTTCAAAGACAGATCCTTTGAAAGCTCCTTTCAGTCTGCTTACTTTCTTAGAAAATGGTATCCCCCACCCCCTGGTTCTTGCCTTGCCAGCCAGCAGCTGTTTCTTCTCTGTCCCTGCAAGAATCATACTGCTGCTGACTGGGTCTTTCCTTCTTTATCCCATTAGTCACCTAATGATATGCCTGCCGCTCAGTCTCTAAAGTCCTCCACACTAAAGCCAAGGTGATTTTTCTAACAACATGGGTGTAAGTTGTTTGTGATGTCCTTGCATAATTTTCAAGATTTTTTTTCCTGTATGTTCTGATAAAGACTACAGACATTCAACTACCACCCTCCCCTGCCATGATGGATCTCATACATTTTAAATAAGATTAATTAGAGAAAAATAAGGCACCATTCAGTTCTTAACACTGACATGGGAGAGGCCATTTTTTTGAGATCATATTTTAGAAATGGAGAGGTAATACACCTCATATAAAGGTACAGGTTTTGCCTGGCTCCAGTGGCTCACGCCTGTAATCCTAGCTACTCAGGAGGCTGAGATCTGAAGATCATGGTTTGAACAAAGTCAGTTCAGGCAGGGAAGTCCTGAGACTTTTTATTTCCAATTAATCACAGAAAAAGCTGGAAGTAGCATTTTGGCTCAAGTGGTAGAGCACTAGCCTTGAGCAAAAGAAATCTCAGTGACAGCTCTCAGGCCCTGAGTTCAAGCCCCAGAACTGGCAAAATAAAAAAGTTTAGATTTTAAACAAGTACTGTGGCAAGTTTTGACAAATACATAATATACCCTAACACATTACAGAACTCTTTCATCATTCCCCTCAAATTCTACTTTAATTAGGAAATGACTTAAAAATAAATGACATGAGAGAATGATTTAAAAATACAAAACCATCCAGCACCATTGTTTTAATCCTTTACAATTAGTTCAGTGAATTTACCTTATTTTTTGTTGTTATTCCTAGGGACACACATTTTCATCTGTTGGGACATCCTTCCTCCTGATAAAAGTGATACTTAGAACAGAATAGATTTTAACAGGATTGCATTTCCTTACCCCTCATGCATGCCAAAGCCTACCATCTATTAATCTCATAGTGATTGTCATTGCATGTTTTGTTTATTCGTCTAGTGTGTATGCACAAATCTCATTTGCAGATCTTCCTTGGCATGTAGTCTCTGGCCAGGTCCAGAGAGTTCCAGAGGTATTTGTTGAATGAATACACAATGGTAAAGGCCTAGCTTAGTGACTTGTAGGTCATATGTGAAATTCAGACTTTATGTCAAGGCAAGATGTCCATTAGGTTATGTGTGTGTGTGTGTGTGTGTGTGTGTGTTTCCACAAATGCCATGATTAGATCTGTGCTTTAGAAAGGCAACTCAAAGCAGTGTAAAGACTATAAACGAGTGACAAAAATAGTTATAAGGATTGAGTTGGGCACACAGGATGTATGTGTGTGTGTCTGTCTGTCTGTCTGTGTGTCTGTGTGTGCTTGTGTGTATATACTGGTCTGTCCTGGGGCTTAGACTTGCGGCCTGAGTGTTGTCCCTCAGATTTTACACTCAGGGCTCATGTTCTACTGCTTGAGACACAATTACACTTGTGAGGGGTGGTTAATTGGAGAGTCTCACAGACTTTTTTGCCTGGGCTGGCTTTGAATCACCATCCTCAGATCTCAGCCTTCTCAGTAGCTAGGATTATAGGAATGAGCCACCAATGCCCAGCTGTAAGAGGTGTTTTTTGTTGTTGTTATTGTTGTTGTTGTTGTCAGTCATGGGGCCTGAACTCTGGGCCTGGGTGCTGTTCTCAGCTCCTCAGCTTAAGGCTAGCGCTCTAACACTGAGCCACCTTCCCAGCCCATATATGGGGTATTTTTTAAAGGAATGGAGTTGGAACAGAGTGAAAAATTCAAAATAAACTTTTTTGAATTTAAATATTTTATTGGCTTCAATGAATATTCACTTGAACAATTTACAAGTATAAAATGGAGACACTTGCTATTCTCATTATAGATGTTCTATAATCCTGTATTATGTTATTCTGAATTACATTTCTGTACTTATTTGCTGTATGTTTTCCACTACAAGACACCTCTATTTGTTCTATTAGTATTACTTTTTCCAAACAGGATGAATGACCTTTTCTTCTTTTTCACAGTTTGCACCGTTTCTCACCCCTCAGTATCCATCATAGTAGATTAAAATACAAATGTTTTTAAAAAACATGCATGAATGCACCAACATATCATGTTCAATAATGGAATGACTCGTTTGAGGAAATATAAACTTTTCCTGAAAAAAGTCTAAAGAATTATGGAGCCTGCTCCATAAATCAGCATCAAATATATCAAAAATAATGTGAGTATGCTAATACAGGATTCATAAAAATAGCATCTCTAATACAATGCGCTTGGTGCTTGAACTCAGCCATCTCCTTCCATTCTTTGAGCGTCTCCTCCCGCTTCTCCTGAAGATATTTCTTCTCCTGCTGCTAGGCGTGCAGGAGGCCGGCAAGCGACTCCTTCTCAGCGCTCAGCCTCTGCCAGGCGTCCTGCAGTTGGGCCAGCTGCTCTTTCAGCTGGAGGTTGCACACCAGCGTGTGTCTCATGGTCTCTTGCTCTCTCTCCATCGTCTCCAGGATCTTGCGCCGGTCCTCGGCATGCTGTTCCCATCCCTCCGCCTTCTTCTCCAGTGGCCACAGCCGCTGATGCTGCTCCAGGCTCTGAAGATGGAGGCTCTGGTTCTCCTCCACCTGGAGGTGAAGGTGCTCCTCCAGGGTCTCGAGCTCCTTCTGCAACTGCAAGGCCTGAGCCTGCAGCCGCTGCTCAGCCTGAGATGGCCCCGCAGGGCGCTGCAGCTCTGCCAGCTGCTCTCTCAGCTCCACCAGCTCGCCCTCCAGCTCCAACACCTGCCTGGCCCCTTGCTCTTTCTCCTCTCTCAGCCTGCCCACCTCCTCTAAGAGCTGCCGGGCCTTCTCCTTCCCTGTACAGCTCTCCACCCTCAGGTCCTCCTCCAGGGAGTCTCTCTCCAGCTTGAAGGTGGTGGCCAGCTCTCTCATGCTCTTGAGTTGTCTTTCCAACTCTGCGTGCTCCACCAGCGCCTGCTGGGACTTGTGAATTTGGAGCTCCATGTTGGCCTTCTGTGTCTGGAGCGCGTCCAGCCTGTCCCGCAGCTCGATGTTCTCGTCTTCCAGGTCTTCACAGCTTCTGCTCTTCTGCTGGAGCTGCAGCGTCAGGCGGTTCAGGGCTTTCGTGAGCTCGAGGTTGTGGAGCTCGGTGTCAGTCTCCGTGGTGGAGATGTCGGACAGCTTCATCTCCAGCTCCCTCACGCGCTGCTCTGCAACCTGCAGGTGGCTGGTGAGACCGTCCCACTCCTGGGCTCTTCCGTCGGCCACCTGCCGCATGTGGGCCAGGGCAGACTGTAAACTGGATTTTTCTGAAGCCACCATCTGCACTGATAGCTTGTACTGCTCCCGCTCTGCTCCCAGTGCCTTGTGCATACAAGCGGTCGCCTCCTGCCGCTCCTGCAGCTCTTTATTTTCCTGCTTCAGTTGTTCGAGCTCTCTGCAGAGCTGCTCGTTTTGTATTCTGCTGGCATCCAGGGCAAGCAGCAGGTGTTGGTAGCACCCTTCGAGGTCCTCGGTGGCAGAGGGACCCGGGTCACTCTTGACCCCTGCAGCTCTGACTGTGCCCAGAAGTGGGGGATGCTGAAGGCCTGCGTGGTCTTTGGCCACACCCGCAGCTGAATGACCGTCCCTGGCGGTCTTTGTCTTGGGGTCACCTCCTTTTTTAGTCTTCTTCTTTCTCTTGGGTTCTGCAGATCCGGCAGGACCATTCCTCTGCTGGTATTCTTGAAGGAGTTTCTTTCCTGCGGCTAACTTTTTCAGTCTTGTTTGTTCAGACATCCCAGCGCTGGGACGGGGAAGATGTGGGGGCCACATTCCCAGGCTCTTGGATGTCACATCCGTTCTCTAGTCACCACCAACTCTGTCTACTTCGGTGCACCAACTATGTCACCTCGATTCACCTCGATTTGCTCCCTCACCACTCCGTACCTCTACCTCCCTCCATGGCTGGTAGTGGTGTGAGTCAGTTGAGGGAATACCAGTGCTACTAGGCAGCATGGAAGGTGGGCGTGGCCTCTATTCTTGGATCCCATTGGTCAGAAAAACAGGGGGGAAATAGGGGGTGTGGCCAGACTCTTGTGACCCAGGCACAATGGGGTAGTCAAAATGAGAGCTGCTCCTGTGGCCCCATCCCCACACATCCTGTCCGGTTTGGTTGGGGGCCGAGTGGGAACTCCCCGGTGAACTGGTGCAGGGTTTTACAAGTCACCCTTCCTGGTTCCCAGCACACAACTGTGGTCACCAGGGTTTCCACCAGACTTCCCACTGCCCTTCAGGTCTGCCCGTGTCAGACGTCTTCAGGTCTCCATGCCATGCAGTTAGTGTTGTTCGGATCATATTGCCGACGCTGGCATTCTGATCAGGGAGGCGCAGGGGTTTGCTGTACACCCTGCTCCTGCAGGCTCTCTGGGACTGGGCAGCACAGGGACCTCCTAGGCCCAGGGCTCCTCTCCATGAGTACTGGCCATGCTGCCTTCAGCACAGCGAGCCCATGCATAGCAAATACTTCCTAGCCTAAAGGGAGCTTGAGGCTGGAAATCATCTTCTTCCTACATTTCAATGAAATGTTACTGAGCACATGTTCCCCACACTTTGGCTGTGATCACCAAGAGTTCAGAAACACAATCACGTGAGGTCTACTACTCCAGAGTGAAGTCAGTCGGTTAGCCACGCAGCAGTCTGACTAATCCCACCCAAATGCTGTCCTGTCTGTCAAAAACGCAGCTTCTGGGGTCACCCTCAACCACTCCGGAGCCCTGGGCCATCGACGGAAGCACTGGCGAGCTGGGGTGGGGGCTGAAGTGATTGATGAGTTCATTTTGTGGGGCTGGCTTTTCCTTCCCATGAAAAGCTGTGCTGGCTGTGGTGGTCCACACCTGTGATCCCAGCAGGAGCATCAATCATGGGTTCAAAACAAGCCAGAGCTACATAGCCAGTTCAAGACTGGCCTGGGCTACCGGCCCTCAGACTGGGGCTGTGATGGCAAGGCCCAGGCATCTATGCTGCATTGTCATTTGCTGGCTAGCCTCCCCACCCTCTCCCTGACTCCTTCCCCAGCACAGCACACGTGACTCATCTCACACACACACACACACACACACACACACACGACAGTACAAAATAAACTTCTAATAAGTGATTAATAATGAAGGAGAAAGAATAGAAGATTCTGTGGTTTGGGATTGAGAGGAGATCCAGAGTTGAGTTGCTGAGAAAAATTCTATCAGAGAAACATAGATCAGGCAAATTAATTTTAGGACATGAAAGTGTCCAATAGGTAAATAAGCAATGAAGTGAGAATACAGATGTTGCTTCTGTGCAAATGTTTCTCCATTTGCCCATGTCTATACACTTCTCACCTTTCTTGGGGCCCTAGGACCCTTACCACTTAGGCAGCAATGTAAAGAAATACGCATTGCTTTTTCTCCACAAAACTGTTTACCTCTTTGGGCAAAAATCTTATTCTAGGTAAAATTAGACCTAGTTAAAAACCTAATGGCACTAATTGAAATGAACTCCAAGATATGGAAAAAAATATGTTTAAAAATACATATATCAGGCTGGGAAGGTGGCTCAGTGGTAGAGCGCTTGCCTGGCATGCCTGAGGCCCTGGGTTCGATTCCTCAGCACCACATAAGCAAAAGAAAAAAGCCGGAAGTGGCGCTGTGGCTCAAGTGGTAGAGCACTAGCCTTGAGCTGAAGAGCTAAGGGACAGTGCCCAGGCCCAGAGTTCAGGTCCCACGACCGGACCCAAAAAAATATATATATATATCTATATCTGTATATAGATACAGATATAGATATATAGATATAGATATATATCAAGTGTGAAGGTATTTTTTATTCCCCTTTGGCTTATTCCCTGTTATCACTGTCTTTAATCTTGGTGCCCTGTGTCTTGTGCATTTGTTTATCTGATTTGAGGAAGGGAAGGGGAAATCACAAAATGGTGAGACAAAGGACAAAGGGTGAACCAATGCAACAGCGATACTCACAAGACACTATGTTGGAAATGAACTTTACAACTTGGGGTACGGGAGGAGTCTGGAGGAAGGGAAAGTGGGAGAAAACAAGGGAAGGGGTATCCATGTTAGACAAGAAATGTACTCATTACCTTACTTATATAACTATAACCCTTCTGTACATCACCTTTACAATTCAATTAAATTTTTTAAAATGCTAATGACATTTTTAAGGGAAACCACTACAGAATAGTGGCCACTTTTCTCAGAACTCTTATTTTTCTCTTTCTGAAGAATGTGAGCATTCTTTTATCAGGTTGACGATTTAGGGGTCAGATGTTTGGAGAAATATTTCTCAGCCTTCAATTTAGAATATACACAGCTACCTGAGTTTCTGAACATCCTAGTAACAAAGGTGATTTTTTCCCATTTATGAATGAAAAATCTCCTCTTGATTTAATGTACGTGAATTAATTTTTCAACTCAGGAAGACAGTAGATTTACAAAATTTTAACAGCAATTCGTTTGCTCCGGCTTAATAGAAAGAAGGAAGAAAACTTGATGTTCTCATTTCTCTATATCTCTAATGTGACTTCCCTTTAAAAGAAATTTGTCCTCTCATAAGTCATGATGCACGTTGTAAATAAGTCCATCACTTTGCATCAATTGCTTGCTATGAAGTAGCTATAGTATCTTTATGTTTAAATTCTACTTGGCAAAAGAAAAATGCTGTAGAGAAAAATTGCATATTTAACATTTATGAACCATTTCCCAGCCTTCTGGCTAATAGCCTTGTCCAGACAATGGCATAAACATACATAATAATGTTGATTCTTGGTCGTGATACATTCAATCCTGATTATTGCTTCCTAATTACTGACTTTGCCCTTCTAAAACTTTGCTACTCTGACATGAGAATAGAATTTAAGAATAGAATGTCTCACACTGTCAGAATTAGTAAAGGTGTTTTTATCAAAATATAGTCAGTGTCAAGAAGAAGAAGGGTTATATCTCAAATATTTAAATGGATTGTTTTTCCTGATACTAGATAGACATTTCTAAATGTACTGATTGTGTATTTCTTAAATAAGTCATTGTATTTAGTGGTGACTACAAAGGCTGACTAGTACAGTGAAGAGCAGATAAACTGGTTGTCCATAAAAAGACAGTATTCCAAGTGCTTAGCAATTTCCATGGTGCAAATATTTACTGTCTCCATCATGGCCAATTTCAGACTGCCAGCATTCAGTAATTCAACTTAAAGTTAGGAAGGAAGATCTGCACACAATCAGCTTGTAGGGCAGGAAGATCCATCTTCAGCATGGAATAGTGGAGCACCCATGCTTGTGTTTAATGTCTGTTTATGCTACATGGTAGCCACATGCATCACCTAATCTTCCCATGCTCAAATTTTGTCAGATACAAAACTGGTATAGCGGTTGGCTGTGGTGGACGGAGATGGAGCGGAGGATTGTGAGTTCAAGGTTAGCTTGAGCCACATAGTGATTTCTATGTGGTGAGATCAATGAAAGGGAGGTTTAATTTTGCTACAAATCAACATCTCTATTCTTTTGTTGATTCCACACCAACATTGCATAATCCAAGGTGATAAAAACTTAAATATAGACACCTCTACTTATTTGCATGAGGACGTACAATTGTCTGGCTGTCATTTATTTAAAAATACTAAATCTTTTCCCCTTTGAATAGTGTTAAAAGTTTTTCCTTCTGCTTCCAAAATCCAACTTACTATTTAGAAAAACAAATGCAAATTCTAATTTCCAGGCTGAAGGGCAGTACCATCTTATTCCTCCCATTGAGAGATGATTTCTAGATTGCAATCTATCTGTTCAGGAGAGAGCAAGAGTTTGCTGTTGCAACAATGATGAATTGGGCACTGCTCATTTATACTGCAAGCGTAATCCCCCAGTTCACTCAGTGAGCAGGACTCGATGGTGTGATTTTCCTTCTTAAGATACTCAGTGAGGGCCAAGCGTGGGGGCACATTCCTGTAATCCAGCTACTCAAGAGGCACAGATAGGAGGATCACCAGCTGGGGCTAACCCAGGCTGTCGTTCCTAAGACTTAGTGTCAGCTACCAACCAGGTGTGTGGCCCAAGCTGCCATTCCATCTACCTGGGAGAAGGTTAGGATGCCTGACTGGCTTAAGGGTCTTTACCCAGGGTTTTGCTAACAGCCACTGAAGCCCTCAAGAAGAGCTAAAGTCTGAGGAGTTCCAACCACAGGCTCAGGATTGCAGCAGAGCCAGGACCTAGGTGCAGACTCTGACAGCTCGTCTCCATGACCTCCCCGACCTGGTGTGGGTCACGGGGCGGTCCGAGGCCCGCCCATCTATAAAACCTCATCCATTTCCTCTTTCCTTGTGGCTTCCATACTTTTCTATTAGTCGTAACAGTTCCTTGTATTATTTCCCTGAATCAATAATAAATTCCAAGAGAAGAGGGACCCCCTTCCTGTCATGGAGACCGGTGAGGGATGCTTTTGGCTTTCCACAATAGAGACATTTAATTATCTTACAAAACAATGTGTCTGGGAATGCATGGCAACTTAACAGCTTCTTAAAAGGCCTAAGATCTTTCCATTTTTTTCTTCACCCTACTTAGAAATTAGATTTTTATTTTCTCACCTGTCAATTCCATTTCAAGATGACTGTCACAGGTCTAAGCATCTGGTTATTACTCAAGACGAGATGAGAGCAGCATGGCGGAGCTATCTACTTGCCACAAGAAAACCTCCCCAGGAGCTCCTTTATTAGCTCCCCTTAGTTCTCATTCCAGTACTGGGTTCTTGCATGTG